CAGATATGGGTTGGAAGATCGCTACAAGATACAACGCAATGGTATTAATAGTCACTGAACAGGGTAGCATCACTTATCTACCATTAGTTGGGAACCCCGCGTTATCACGTATTATTCCTATGTCGCTACATAACGATCATTTTATGATCATACGAGTACCGGTTTCATGCCCTCTTCCTCGTCTCCATCCTCAGTGGAGGTATTTTGCAGCTCCCAATTTACTACCTCTACGAGATTTTTACGCGGATCGACTTGCTTTTTGGACGACGTTGACTTCTAGGCATAGGTAGTACTGTATTATTGTAATTTTGTTGAACATTACTTGATTTTGTAAATTAATAATTGTTGAACTATTAGTTGAGTTTGTAAAACTAATTATTATTAGTCAAATTTTATTATTAGTTGAGTTTGTAAAACTAATTATAATTAGTTTGTAAAACTAATTACTATTGTTGAACAATTAGTTGAGTTTGTAAAACTAATTATTATTAGTCAAATTTCACATGGGAAAATCAAAAAACAAAAATAAAAAAAAAATAAAAAATTAATCTGTTCGTGTGATTTCACACGAACAGAGGCGTTTTGCACGTGTGAAATCAAACGTGCAAACCTTCTCTGTTCGTGTGAAATCACACGAACAGGTTTAAAAAAATTAAAAAAAAAATTAAAAAAAAATATTAAAAACAAAGAAAAAATGACGTGGAAAAAGTACTCGTGTGTTAACACACGAACAGAGACATTCTACTCGTGTGTTTTCACACGAGCAGAACATCTCTGTTCGTGTGGAAACGCACGAGCAACACAATTTTTTTTAATCTTTTTTTGATTGTTTTTTTTTATTCTTTTATTCGTTAATAATACAAATTAAAATATAATTTCGTTCGATACAACATAATTATAATCCGTACAAATAACTAAATAAGTAAGTCCGATAACAACGTAATTAAAATACGGGCAAATAAGAAAAATCCGCAAATCCAAAATGAAACATCCGTACAAATAACTAAATCCGAAAACAAACAACAAATCACAACACACGAATACCAATAGTCAGGTGCAAATAAAAATCATACACTAGCAAAAAATCCGAAACTAATACACAAGTCCATGCAAATAGGTAACATGTCCTACTGTCTACTCATCGACCCCCGACCCCGAGTCCTCGGACCTCCCCCGTGACCCCTCGTAGGTAAGAGACGCAAATAGTGGGCATGTGGCGTCAACAAGTCCCTCAACTGCGGCTGAATACTCAGGAATGCCTCTGCTGCGTCGTCACCAGTCAAACCGAACACGATCGGAACTAGGAGCCGAGCTATGTCATTGGCGAACGACTGGTCTGGCGGGGCGGCAGCAACAACCCGTTCTGCAGGCGGAACTCTATCAGGGTTGCTAATGAACCGGTGCGTCCGCTCGATGTACCACTTCATGTACTCCTCGGCAACTGTTTCCGGCGGCCAGGCTTCACGGTATTGCGACAGGTCAATGAAGTTGGCGTACTCGTTCTGCCACAAGCCGCCAGGAGCGTGGAAAGTGACTTTGTATCCCGCGCCAAACAAACCGCGGTTATGTGGCAAGTTCGATTCAATTATCGGGAAAGGGATAGTCTGGACTCTTCCAAACTGCCGTAACGCTCGGTCGGGCATGTACGGCTCCATTATATCCATGAACTGTATCGTGTCGTAATACATGCTCCGATGATGCAAGTAATGTGCACCGGTACCATACGGGGTCCAACAAACTTAAGCATATTTTAAACTAATTAGAAAAATCCGTAACTCTACTATAGACATAATTATAAAAATTATTACTCACATCTCTTTCGGTCATGGCGTCGAGTTTTTTCCGGCATTCCTGCAGCGTGGTTTTATTGCCTCCACCATGGGCCCACCTTCTGTATCGAGGCTCAAACTCGGCATATGAACGGGAAAGAGGTTGTCGAAAGCAGGGGAAATACTCAAAGATCCAGCACTGCAAACAAAAACCAATGAAACGTTGTTGATATTACCTACATAGAAGTTTAAATAAATAAATAATTACTAATAAAGGTACACGTACCAGAAGGAGAATAACACATCCACAGAGACTGTTCATCCCAGCGCAGGTGGCAATACCCAATTGGCGGTACATGTTTGCTAAGCATGCCGAAGCCCACGAATACTTGCCGACATTATCGAGATCGTTGGTAAAATGGATCCACCACGGCTTCATGTTACACGCTGTTTTGTCTACAAACAAAACAGACCCAAGCAGAAACATCAAGTAGCCCTTCATCTTCTTCTCGTCTGCGGTGGAGGGAAGGGTCAACTGATCTCTCACCTGAAACCAACCAACTCCCTTGTTTCGAAACATCTCATTGGTGTCCATCAGACCGACACCCAATACAGATGCAAGACTCTGTGAGCACTCTTCTACCGGGCGAATTTCAGATACTGGCGGTCCGTCCAGCCGCAACGCCTGGATGAAAGCCACATCGTGGAGCGTGATCGTCATCTCGCCCCATGGCATGTGGAAACTGTTCGTCTCCGGCTGCCACCTCTCCACGAAAGCTAACATGAGGTTCTTATTCATCCTCTTCAGAAAACAGTCTCGTAAGTGGTAAAGACATGTTGCCTTCAGCCTCGCAATCATCGTGTTATCCTGCGGGCCGCGGTAGTCCTCGAGTGCTTTGGTCCTCGACTCGCACCGTGTAGTTTCACGGCGCTCCTGAAAAATATTGCATGTATTGTTAGCTAAAAAAAATGAATAATATAAGAATTATGTAAAGCACGTGTTGACAGAAAACTTACATATTCTTCCCAAATGTACATCGCTATATGCGACCTAAACCATCGCATAAACTCGTAATTTTGTGGCCCTCCCTCGCACGGACCCTCCAAGTACGCCGGACCAGGCAGCTGCGGAAAGGGTAAGGCACGACCACCTCTACGATCCTGATATACATCTGGTGGCTCATCATTTTCATCCGTCTCCTCGTCAGTATCCACATTATCGGGATTGTTGTTGTGGTCATCATCGTCGTCGGCATGTGGCAATGTACTACGAGCTAGCTGGAGGTCGCGTGTAGGTCCACAGGGTCCGGCTCCAGCTGCAACAGCTTCTCGTCTCAGTCTCTCTTCTTCCCGCTGTAACGCTGCTTGCCGAGCTAACTGCTTTCTTCTACGGTCGGAAGCAAGGACATCTCGGTCTCCAATGCGATCCGGATCTTCCGGATTGTTCCCCTTCCCGCTCAAGGCTTTCATTAAGCTCTTGCCTTTACCGGCAACTTGACTCATAAGACTTTTCCCCCGGCCTCATGCCATCTACAATTGAAAATAAGCACTTTATTAATATTTCATATAATTAAAAAAAAGCATTTAAATAATGAAATGAAAAAAAAAAAAAATTAAATTGTTGTGCTCGTGCAAAATACGATCAACTCTCAGTCGCACTTTACGAAGATCATGTAGCGCCCACCAACCTTGGTCAACCTTTTTTT